TTCGATTCGATTATTCAGAACGCGTCGGTTATGCCAAATCTTTGACAAAAGTTTTATCTCATAAAAGAGATAAACATAAGAATATCCCAATTTAAGAGATATTCAAAAAAGGCTTAGTTTCGACACTAAGTTTATAGGCTCCAGCAAGCCTCAAGTTGCATAGTTTCTTTTGAGTGACTTTTGACCTGGTTTAGGTAGAGCCTGGAGAGACGGTGGCATTGGTTGGGCATAGTGGATGTGGGAAATCGACAATTGTGGGCTTGATTCTGCGATATTATGATCAGCAAGCTGGAACGGTGAGTAGGTTTCGGTTACTATATAACATGCTTGGTTACTGTGTAAGCTGTTTGATTACTGTATTGTGTACGTGTTTACTGTATGAGCTGATTGGTTAGTATCGTATGCTTGATTACTCTTTAAGCTGTTTGGTTACTGAATCACATGCTTGTTTGTGTTTGTGATGTTGACTGACACTGTTCGCAATGTTAGTTGTGTTGCTGATGCGAAGGCGATAATTAATAATATGATTTATGCACACAATAAATAAAGACGATAATAATGGTTGGGTAGAGTGAAGATAGACTGACGGTTGAGTTTGGATGATGGCTCATACACAACAACAACACTGGATACACGAACAACACACTAATACACAGCAACTGATATAACCACACTGAGCTAGTGATTGAGATTAGCTGATCACAAAACAACGGTCACGAGTTGCCAACGGTGGCCAGAGAACACACGACATGCAAAGCACTATAGAGAGACACACAAGAAACCGTAAACAATAAACAAGAGATCACCGGTTTATCCCAACATCATCCTTCAGTTTGCTGTGTAGGTATTATACTTTGATTACTATATCGTTTGCTTGATTACTGTACCGTGTGCTTGGTTACTCTATGGGCTAAAGCATGTTCAAGCTAAGCAATCAGTTGTTTTCAGCTGACAATCGACGGTGTACCAGTACGAGACTTGAATATCGAGTGGCTGCGGAATACGGTCGGAGTGGTAACACAAGAGCCAGTCCTTTTTGCGGCATCGATAGAGGAGAACATTCGAATGGGGAATGAGCACGTGACCGAACGCGAGATGATACAGGCTTGTACGGCAGCGAATGCACATCAGTTCATCACAAAACTACCCAGAGTTAGTTGCATTCCAGGAGTTGGGGCGATTGAAAAAACAAGACAGGGGCAAAAAGGCATGACGGGTTGGGGAGGGGGGGGGGAGAATAAAACGAAAAGAGGGGATATGATGGGGCCAAAACGGTATGCGAAGGGGGGGGGAGGGAAAGACAAGACAAGCGGTTAGCGAAGGCCGGGAGGTGGGCGAGGGGCGTGCGAGAAGGGGGCCAACCTGAAATTGCTCTCATTAAAGGGTTACAAGACGGTCATTGGTCGTGGAGGTATTCAGTTGTCTGGGGGACAAAAGCAAAAACTCGCAATCGCACGCGCGCTTGTCAGAAACCCGAAGATTCTACTCCTTGACGAGGCCACAAGCGCGTTGGATACCGAAAGTGAAGTGGCCGTTCAACGCGCTCTCGATCAGGTACTTTCAATAATTTCAGGTTGCGCTCGATCAGCTCAGCGATGGTACTTTCACTGATTTCAGGTCAAAGGTTAAAGGTGAACTGTGAACGTTTCAGGCTCGTGAAGGTCGTACAACGTTGATTGTCGCCCATCGGCTGTCAACAGTCCGCAGTGCCGATAGAATAATCGTCTTTTCGCACGGCGAAATCGCCGAAATGGGCACACACTCGCAGTTGATGTCTCTGCCAGACGGTGTTTACAGGCGGCTGGTTCACGCACAGGAGATCGGCGAAGCAGATGACGAGTTCATCGATGAAGGTAACCTAAGCAAATTCCACAACCTTCCCGAGGGTTGGGTATNCGAGATTTTCCGGAAAAATCGCTAATTCCTACAGATTTTTTTCAGATTTCCTGGAATGTTTCACTGTCTTTTCGGATTCAAAGTTATTGATCACCGCTATTTTACAGTATCCGAGACGAGTTGCAAGACGAAGGCGCTAAGGAAGCATCTCTGTTGCAAATCCTGAGATTTTCCAAAAAGGTAGCAAACTTGCAATTAACCTTTAGCCTCACACAGGAAACAATCTCTTTAATCTTACAGTAATCCTTGTCTGGCAGTGTTCCAATATACTCAATTGGGAATGTTCCAATATAATCCATAGTTGGCAAGGTTCCAATAAACCATTTATTCAGCGATATTCCAATACAATTTCCTCTGATTTTCAGGAACTTCCCACTGCCGGTGTGGCGCTCCTATTCACGACAATTCGTGGTCTGGCATGGCCCGTTTTTGCGATAATTTATGGTCGAACATTTTTGGTAAGAGTGTGGTGGGAAGTTTGAATTTTTTGAGTAGTACTCAGGTGGCAGCACAAAATCGTGCGGCGTTGAAAGTCTTGAAGGGAATTTCGCGAAAATACGTTTTACAGGCGTTGTCCGCGATCGATGCCGGTGAGGTGAGCCGCACGACGACGCTGAATTCGATTTGGTTCGTTCTACTCGGTATCGTAACCGGATTGTCGACATTCGCTTCGGGAACACTTTTTGGGTGGGTTGGCGAGAAAATGTCGATGCGTTTGAGGATTGCCGTCTTTACAGTAGGTGATGATACTCGTTGCTGGGGTAGTGTACTTATTTAGAGGGCAGTACTGCACTTTTGTGACGGGAGGTGCTGTAGTTTTGTATTGAGTGATACTGTACTTTGTAGGGTAGTGTATTGCACTTTTTATAGGAGGCGATATTGTGGTTCTGTAGGGGTTGGCACTGTACTTTTTAAGATGGGAAGGGAGGTGTGCTCGTGGTGAGGAAAATCAAGACATGCCGCGTTTTTCTTTGCGGAGATAAAGCAACATTTCAGAACATTCTACGTCAAGATGGACCCTTCTTCGATAGTCCTCTTCATTCGGTGGGTAAATT